TCAAGCTAACAATGGGCTAGGTTTTCATGGCCATGATCAAGCTAACAATGGACTAGGTTTTCATGGCCATTGTCAAGCTAACAATGGGCTAAGTTATTTTCATGGYCATGGTCAAGCTAACAATAGGCTAGGTTTTCATGGCCACTGTTAGTGTGAGCTTGACCATGGCCATGAAAATAACCTAACCCATTGTTAGCTTGACCATGGCCGTGAAAAATAGTACCACGGCCGTGGTGTTCATGAAAGACAACTAATTGGATAGGTTTAACCGTGGTTAAATTGTTTGCTTTACCATAGCCTTGAAAGTTAAGACCACAGCTGTGAATTAGATGTACTTTACGTTYTGTCCAAATTCATGGTCGTACCACGGCCATGGTTGTGGCCTTGAAATTCGACAGAATCAATATCCTCTTTAAATTTGCACGGGGATTGAAATTCGACAGAATCAAATTCACGGTCGTACCATGGGCATTGACTTACGTAACTTTTGACCCACAAAAATAGTCATAAAAGTTTAGAAATTTCATTCACTCCAACTATATACATCATATTTCAGACGAGTCGAAAATAATATTATGAACCAATAAAAAAATAACCTTGTTCAAGATGTCAAAGATGAAAAATTGACTTCCTTCAAGGTATTCAAGATGTGAAAAATGTTGGAAAATGTATGGAAGTTCTTCAAAAAAAACGTGAAAGATGTGCATGAGGACGATAAGGACTGAAACATACTTTTATTCTCTGCAATTTGTGCGAATGTGTGAGTATATATTAAATGATAGTACAAAAAATTGGTGGGAAATTAATAAGTTTTTGGTACTTTAATAAATTCATGGCCATGAATCAAGTGGAACTCGCCCATGATTTTAATTACATCAACCTACGTGATTTCTTGCCAGATTCATTGTAATTTAATTAAATCTGGGGTATATTCATAATTACATAYTCTCTGAAATGTCAGAAAAGTTAAAATTGGGTCAGTTGAGTCAATTTTTATAATTGAGGTTAATTGAGCAAACTAGAAACTTTTTTAGGTTATATATGTCATTTTCCCAACCTTAGGCTTAGACGAACCTCATGAATCGAGTAAAATGCCCAGCCCTAAACTTGGGCTAGGCTTGGCCAATCTCCAATTGCCAAGCTATGAAGTCGACTCATTAGATTAAAATTGGGTTAAATTGGAATTCATCGGATAGCTATTTGAGTTAATGTCATCCGATGGCACAAGTATCTAAAGTTTTCCAATTTTACACTTTTAGACATATCCTCATATATAYCCATATATACTGATGACAAATCGATGGAATCAAACTCACTGTAAGATATATCYTCATATATACACTAGTTCACACCTACATTTTGCACCACTGAAATCTACAAAAATAGTGTTAAACCGTACAAAATCAAAAATCGAAAAAAAAACCATTGAAGATATATGGGTATGGAAGGGGTTTAACAGTACCAAAAAAAAAATCATGAGTTTTCAAAATTGTTCAAATATGAAATCGAAAACTTGGAGGATATATTGGAATGCAAAATATATCATGGTGAGACAAATTAACCTTCCGATCAGCCAGATGAAGGAGACGAAGGAAAAGCTAAACGAACTGCTCCAGCAACAGAGAAAAACAGATACGACGGCTGGAGACGAAGGAGCACAGACGACGGACGGAGACGAAGAAYGCTAAAATTGATTTTATCATTTGATCGTCTGTGTCTACTTCCTTCGCGCCTCTATTTGCAATTGTCTGATGTATCATTTTCTCTGCTGGTCATTTATGAACTTCCCTTCATTGTCTTTTGAAAGTGTTCTCTTGGTTCCTTGTTCGCCCTTTGTTCGTGATTCTTCAAATGATCGATCACCATTCGCATGGTTTGGCATATGGTTRATCGTTCATAGGTGTTTACGCTTCAGATGTGTTAGAATTCATATATATGAATTAAATTTACACAACCCATCAGCTTAAAGCTTTTGGGTTGAATGGTGATTTATTCATTCTTAACATGGTATTAGAGCARGAGGTCTTTTGTTCAAACCCCTGCATTGTGGCGTTTTGGGTATTCGAAGAGGCTGAAAATTTTTCTCTTCTTCTTGTGTTTCTTGCTTATTCCGTTGCTTCAGTTGATATTTTTTCTACTTGAGAGTTTGGGTTTGTTATTCTCCATCGTTCCGTTTGTATTGTTTTTGGATATTGAAGCTAATATAAGTTTGTTCTCACCTTGCACAGTGGATGTAGACCAAATTGGTCGAACCAATATAAATCTTTGGTGTCGTCGTCTTCTYTTTCCTTACTATTTAGTTTAATATTGCTTGGTGGATTATTTGGATGATTGATTAATATTGTCAATTAAAGGAAGCAGTGGTTATTGGTGTATTTTTGCACAACAAATGGTATCAGAGCAGAAGGTAAATTATAACAGTTGCAGTCTATTCCGTTTCTTGATTTTGTAAGCTTCTGTTCAAGCATCTGGGCTATTCTGAATTTGTTTGATTGGTCGGTTTGATCTGAAATTTCTGCTTGGTTAAATATAAAATATTTTTGGGTTGTACTGAAGGTTTCTAGCTGTTCTGAAATTTATGTTTGGCTGATTAATAATTATTTTTGGCCTGTTCTGGRTTTTTCTGTTGGATTCTACTATTTTTGAATTGTCTGTCTAGTTGTATAGTAATTATTTTGGGCTGTTCTGTTCGAAATTTTTCTATTTGATTAGCCTAAAATTTATATGTGGTTGGTTGAAAATCCTAGAATTATGTCGGCAAAATTCGAACTAGATAAGTTTGATTGAAATGGGGATTTTAGCCTTTGGAGAAAAAAGCTTAAAGCTCTTTTAGTTCAACAGAAAGTGGCAAAAATTTTAGATAAACCAGAAACATGGCCGGCAGAGATGACCAAAGAAAAACAAGTTGAAATGGAGGATATAGCCTATAGCACAATGATTCTCCACATTTCTGATAATGTGCTTCGACAGGTTAATGACATTGAAAAAGCAAAGGAATTATGGGACAAGTTGGAATCACTTTATTTAAGTAAATCTTTACCAAATAAAATTTACTTAAAGGAAAGGTTTTTTGGATTTAGGATGCAACCATCAAAATCCTTAGAAGAAAACCTAGATGATTTCAACAAGATTGTGTGGACTTGGCAAATACTGGAGAAAAATTAGATGATGAAAACCAAGCTATTATTCTCCTGAATTCATTACCTGAAAGCTATAAGGAAGTAAAGTCTACAATAAAATATGGTAGAGATTCGTTAACGTTTGCCACTGTTTTAGATGCTTTGAGATCCAAAGATTTTGAAATCAAACATG